TCCCAAACCCTTAGCCGAGAAAAAAACTACCCCTTCCCATACCCCTAACCCATCCCCTGTACAAACTCCCATTAGCTCCCCACAAAAACAGAAAAGCAAAAAAAAAAAAAAAAAAAAGTCTGTCAATGGATGTGATAGAATCTGTAACCAAAAAAAAAAAAAAGATCACCAACCCTAGTTTTAATACCAGAGAAGATGTTTGCAAAATATCTAAAGTACAAAAAGAAAGTTTAGCGACACAAATAAAAAATTTCAGAGACTTCTTCTAAAACTCAAGAAAATCAACAACTCAGATATTGAAAATCCTAAAAACTTTCCAAATGCAAGGAGGATTTTAACTGCCGTGAGGACTAGTGTTCCTGGCCAATAGATATGGTCCATGATAATGGAGACAAATACTGTCTTTGGCATGTTTTGATAATGAGGCTCCCGCTTTTCGTTCACCTCTCCCTTTATAGAGCTTTAAAACTTACGTTCCCATTGGACATTGGCGGCCTGTCTCCTGATGGCACCATCAGGACTGAGATGGGTACAGGATCATTGGGAGAGATTGTCAGTGCCCTTACCCCAGCCATGTTCAATATAGGAGGGAAACCCTAATCGGTTTGATAAATGTCTCTCTGGTTAGCAAGTCTGAATGCCTGAGGTTGGAGTCTTGCAGGGCAAGGCTCTCTCATGACCTTCAGTGTCTCGGGGTGAATATATGTTGTGTGCAAGAGACCTGTTTTTCTTCTTGTGATTATGAAAGCATTCTGTCTAGGGGATTTTCCCTCTATTCAGCATGTTTTGATGGATGCTCGAGGGATGTCTCTTGGCTCACCAGCCAAGAGACATCCCTCGAGCAAGTCTTTGAAGGCTGCGTGTGCTCTTGTCTTTGTAGATCTGGCGGGCAAACTCTGTGTGCTGGATGTTACCATAAAGGATAAGGCTCTTCGTCTCATTGTGGTTTATGCGGCCAATGTCCATGCTGAGCAGCCTGATTTGTTTTGGGAGATTGAGCTGTTTTTGGCAACATCTCGCCAGGTAGTTTTAGTGGGAAATTGGAATGCCATCCTTGACCCAAACATAGATCGTATAGGGTTAAATTCAAGTACTAACAACTGGGACATCAAACCATTTCGGGATTTTATTGACAGGTTTGATCTTGTTGATAAGTACTGGAATGTACACCACCAGGAGGTAGTGTGGACTTGGACTAATAGTGGCGGCCCGGCTGCAGAGGTGTGTTCTAGCTACCTCAACCGAGTTTTAGTTAGGAGAGTCAATTTAGGGCTCTTAGGGTGTCCAAGTTTCCATTACATAGTTTATTTGGATCATAGGCTTGTTCATGTCTGTGTAAACTTAGATAAGCCTAATGTTAGGATAGCTGACTACTGGAAATTAAACTGCTCATTATTTAGTGAGCAGGATTTCCAGGACCAGCTGCTACTAATGATACAGAGGGAATTGACGAGGACTGTTGTTGGGAATGCCTGATTGGACAAATTAAAATCTAAAATTAGAACATTTGTTGCTGATTTTAGTCATCAACTCAATCTAGAGAGATTAGCGGCGCAAATGGTAGATCAGGCAATTAAGTCCTATGGTAATGGGGAAATAGCTTTAGCTAAGGCAGAGTTGGCCTCCTTGCTTATCAAGAAGGATCAAGCTCTTGTAGTTAAGTCTAGGTTAAAAAGAATGTCCCCTGAGGCAATGAATATGGCTGCTGAATTGTGCACAGAGGAATGTAGAAATGCGTCTCGGTAGCATGTCATGTGCGTCACATTGCTGGATAAGCGGACCGTGACTACAAATGTGGGCATATGTGAGGATTTTTGGGATTACTATCAGGAACTTTTTTTCCAGGGAGCCTGGTCTGAGCCCTTCTCAGTTTGACGCCTATTTAGCTGACTTTTCCTACCTTGAGGCAGCTGAAGCGGCTGTGTGCAAGGGTCCCATCACAGAGTTGGAAATCTGGGAAGTGCTGAAGCAGGTTGACCTGAATAAATATCTGGGATTAGATGGTCTTCCCTACGAAGTTTACTTGAAGCAGTTGCCTATTTTTGTTCCTTTGTTGGAACTGACAACAACTGGATGAAGCAGGGGTCTATACCTCAACGCTTCACCAGGGGTGTAATCAAGTTGCTACACAAGGACAAGAACGGTGGGGATGGGCTAGATAACTTTCGCTCTTTAACCATGTTAAATACAGAGTTAAAGATTTTGGCAAAGATCTTAGCCAACTGTTTGCAGTTTGTCTTCTCTAGTCTGATTGGCTCCGAACAGACTTGTGCTGTGAAGGGCAGGACTATTCAGGACAACCTTCATATGGTCCGCTTGATCATCGAGAAAGTCGACAGTGAAGCTGTGGTGATCAATTTAGATCAGTTCAAAGCCTTCAATAGGGTTGACTATCGATTCCTGGAGGCTGTCCTTTTGGCAGCATGTTTCAGGCCGGACTTTCGGATCTGGATCCGACTTTTGTATGCGACCCCGTGTGCTGGTGGAAGTGAATGGGGTAAGATTGGAACCTTTCATATCGTCTCATTCCATTCCCCCAATGCTTTACGTTCTTGCGTTGGAACCTTTCTTTCGCAAGTTAAAAGGTGAATCTGGTTCTACACGGAATTTCCCTGCCTGGTGCTACCACCTTGGCCAGGTATTCTGCCTATGCTGATGATGTTTCAGTTCTTGTGTCCAGCAGAGCCGAGATTGACGAAGTCAGCAAAGAAATCAGTGGTTATGAGATGGTGATAGGGGCAAACATCAACCGCGATAAGTCTGTTGGCTTGCGGTTGGGTGTGTGGAAGGAAGTTTCTCTTCCCAGATCTTTCCTTTGGATGGATGGGCCGGTCAAGATACTCGGCGTCTGGCACCTGATATCCAGCTGGATAGGAATTGGTTGGAGGTACAAGGGAAGGTTGAGATCCCAGTTAATCTGTGGTCTCGAAGGAATCTGTCCTTGAAGGGGAAGGCGTAAGTATGTGTTTCACATATCTATCCAATTCTCCTTTACCAACTCTCTTTACTTCCACTTCTGTATGTCACACTAATGTCATAAGTAAGGCTCTTGTTCTCCTTCTTGTGGGGAGGCAAGGCCGCTAGGGTATCTCAGGAAATCTGTTGCCTTCATCCATCTGAAAGTGGTCTCGGTATGCCTCGCATTGAGATTCATCAATATATGCTTTGCTTCAGGTTCCTAAATTGAATGTCGTGAATTGGATGAGGAGGGTGCCTTCTGGAAAGAAGATGCCCATAAGAACTTCCCATCTCTGAGAAGTGTGCACTCGTGTGACAAGGAGGCCCGCCATTTACCCTGAGCTGAATGCTCCTTCTACTGTGAATGTCGTCTTGCTCGGAAACGCCTCTTATGGACATTTGATGGCCTCTCCAATGTCCAGTCATTGTCTCGAAGGGCATTATATCAGGTGTTAGTCAGGGGGTCCGTTTGTGATGAGCTGATTGACAAGCTCAGCCTTACGAGGCAGAAGGCTCGCTCAATATGGCTTTGGGCGCCGGGGATGAAATGTCTCAATAACGATAAGGCATCTCTCACCTGGCTGATGATTCGTGGGGCTCTCCAGGTCGCCAAAAGACTTTGTTCAGTGGGCTTGGAGAAATCTCCAAACTGCCGACACTGTGATGAGTCACTCCTTCTTTCATTGCAGGGTGGTAGCACCGTTGTGCAAGTTTGTTGAAGGCCTCATGGGAAAGTTCTTTGTCCTTGAGGCCTCTTCTGTTTGTAGCAATGTGGCACTGCCGTTGACCAAGGCTGAACAATGTGTTCTTTTGCTTGCTAGGTGTTATGCGAGTCGTGATTTAGATGACAAGTCAGAAAGGATTCTATTGAGGCGAGAAGCTCACTTCTTTCCAACTGATCTTGTACTTTAAGCATTAGCTTAAAGTCAAAATTAGGATGGAAAAGCAGCAGCTCACTTCATCAGAATTTGGCAAAAGTTGGGTGAATCTTGTGCGAGTGTGTCAAGTCAAAAGGGCTGACCTGGAGTAGCACTTTGGTACCAGTTAGACATCAGGATATTGTTATTCCTGGGTTGAACATAGGCAACCCATCCCAAAATTAGGCTAGTTTAGGTTTGTTTTTGAATCTTTAGTTTCTTTTTTTTTCAGTTAACTTAGCTAGGTTATGTATGCTCATCAGCCCCTTTTATTTCTGTCCCTATTTTTCTTTAGTTTAATTCCCCATCCACTCCCTTGTTAGGGGGCCAGTAATGTGAGTTCTCTGGTAGATGAGGGGTGCCTTTCATTTCACGTTTTCATATTTGTTGTGTCTGTGTGAGTGCTTGGAAGGAATGAATGTTTTGTACTATTATAATCCCGCATCAATTTCGCCCAGTTAACTGATGTTTCTGCCATATTTAAGGATTGTGGGGGCTTTTATTACTAACATTATTTTGTTTAGTTTCTTGTAAATAATTTTGTTCCATATTGTACATAATCATTGGGGATTTTTTTAAATTGTTGTTTTTATTCCCCTCCCAGTCAATGAATTGTACATATGGGGACTATTTAGGATTTTCATAGAGACAATGCGGTATAATGAAGGATGTAGTAAGAAAGGGAGGTAAGAATGTGTTGTTTTGGTGTTAGGACTATTGTTTGTATGTTTGGGTCAGTGTTTGTGGCTATCTAAGTTTAAATTTAAGACAGATGAAGACCGCCCTTTTCCCCAATCCCCATTTTGGCCATGTGCCACATTTTGTACCATAGTACAAATAAATATCCTAAGCAGAATAAAGCTTCCTTTAGCCTTCTCTTGCTATCTTTTGTTATTACAATATTACTGAATCCTCATACTTGGAGAGTGATTTAAAAATAAACTCACTTATTTGTGTGTGTTACTGGAAGCTTTGTTAGCTTAATAACTTTCTATTCATTTATTTATTTTGACTGGGTCCAGAATTCAATGTTATATAAAAGTTTTTCAAAGTAATCATAACACTACTTCTGTCACAATGCATTAACAAGTGATGAGTTTTCAAATAAAATATATTAAAACTCACCTCCAACATCACCAAGATTTACAGAAACTTCATTTTTCTGGTATAATCGCTGTTTTTGAACTTTTAATTTTACTTTTCCTTGTGTTCTTTTCAATATATCCACTGCCTAAAATAAGTAAAAAACAAAAAAACAAAACATAAATAAGTTAAATTATCTAAAATGAACAAAAAGAGTAATCTATTGAGTTAGGCAAAAGATTGGTTCATTTAGGGAGTAGACACTTATACAATTATTAAAATTTGGTATTAAATGTATTAAACAACATATTTACTGCTTTTTTTTCACTATCTTCTATCATCTTGCAAGTAACTTTCATTTCCAACTGTCCAGAAGATTTTATCATTCTCAGCAAGGAACTGAATCAGCTACATTCAATGATCTTCCAGAAAATTTTAATTTTTTCCTTTATCACTCCCCCAAAAGTATAGAAAAGTTACTTTCTTTCCATCCATCTGCGAAAATCTTTGCTTTTAATGCTCACCACAACATATGGCTGAAACATTCTAAAAAGGTACTGATGTTGCCAGTATACAGGCATAAAATTTTTCCATTTCCCAATCCCTCAGTTAAATCATGGACTTCCCAACTCATTTCCCTGGCCAAACTGAGCCACATGCTTCTCTACTGGATCTATTTCTTACCTCTTCTCTCATTCTTGCCAAGCTTTGCAATACTGCCCTCTTGGTAACTGTGGTAGCTAATGATATCTCCTTCCAAGCATCCATTAAACAGGAACCTCCTATCCATAAGACCTCTTTCTGTTACCAGCATGCTGATTGGAACTCATTCTGGTTTTTTCTTCACGACACCCATCGAACTAACATCTTCAATCTACCAATTGAAAATTGCGCCATTGATGTTTCTTCATGCGTCAAAGCTGGCATGGATGCTTTCATTCCTTTTTGGAAATACCAGGTGAAACTGCAATCCTCTCCATGGTTCACACCAGCATGCTTGGCCACCATACCACACTGGAAGCACTATTTCCAGCTATACCAGCATGACAGCTGTCATAACAGGGGCCTATTTACTACTGCTTGTAACAAATGTAAAAAAGTCCTTCAAGGAGTTAAGCCCCTTTTTGTTGAGAAAATGAGGCACCACATAGCCTCTAAAAACTTTGGCTCTTGTGATTACTGGTGTCTCTGTAATAGGGTACTAAATGTGCAAGGTCTCTGTTCCCCTATCTTCAATCAATTATCATTCTATGCTAATAAAGCTGCATGCTTTGTCTGAAAATTCTGCTCAAACTCTACCCTTAACTCATCTGCAGTATCCCTGCCTAACTTCCCACTTAGAACTGATTCTCTGTTGACTGATATGTATATATAACCCCTTCCATGGTTTCTGCTATCATCTCTAACCTGGATCTCCACAAAGCATGTGGACCTGATGTATCCCTATAATAGTCATTAAGAAGTGTGCTCCCTAATTGGCTCCTGTTCTCTCTAAACTGTATAATAAATACCTTGGTGCCTCCTGCTTTCCTGCCTGCTGGAAATCATTGCCTGTTGCTCCAGTTTTTAAGAACTCTGGTAACCAATCCAACCTATCTAACTATAGGCCTATTAACCTTCTACCTCTTTTTGGGAAACTCCTAGAGGCCCTAATCAATGCTAAATTGGTTAATCATCTCTCATCACAGGGCCTTTTCTCAGACAAGCAATACGGCTTTTGTTTTTCCAGATCAACTGCCGATGTACTAATGATAATTGCAAAAAGAGTCTATTGTGCTCTGGATAAAAACAGTGAAGCCAGCTGTATCATTGGACATTTCAAAAGTCTTTGACAGGGTCTGGCATTCATGTCTTCTCCACAAGCTGAAAAGTTATGGTGTACATTTTTGAGTTATTCAGTTGTCCCTATCAAATTGTGAAAGAAAAGTTGTCCTGAATAATCACTCATCTACATCATTTCATACTAATGCAGATATCCCACAGGGCTCCATCCTTGGTCTAATGCTGTTTTTAATCTTTATTAATGAGCTTCCCAATTACATCAGCTCTCAACTTGGAATCTATGCTGATGACACATCCATTTATTCCTGCCTCAATTGTAAGATCCAACAAGATCAAAATAGCAGCTGATGTACAAAACAATTTCAAGACTGTTGTTAAGTGGGGTTAAAAGATGGCTAATCATCTGATACTCCTCTCTACCTTCCATCAGCTATGCTGAAGGTTGCTTCTCTGCACCTATTTTATAAATACTTTCATGGTAATTGTTCAAATGAGCTCTTCACTATGGTACTGAGACTCTATGAATTTAAGCACAATACAGTTTCTTTTCTCACACTACTCGTTTGTGGAATATATATACTGAATATACAAGGTAACCAAAAAAGTTCTGTCCGTTTTTTGATTAGTCATTGAATGAAGTTGAAATATACACGAAATGTGCGTAGCAATTGTTTTCAAATTTGGACAGCCGGAAGTAGGAGCATCAGACGTTATAAAAAACACACGCACCGTGCCCGCCATCAGTTATAAAGTCGGACAGCTGTGAGAAGGATGGAAGTGTCTAGAGATCTCGTTCTCGGGCTGTTTGCTTTTACGACTTCAAAGTGGGCTTATCAGCAGCTGCATCAAGTTGCCGCATATGTCAAGCATTTGGGGATAGTGCTGTGGATGAACATACTGCAAGGCCTTGGTTTCAAAAATTCAAGTTGGGAGATTTGTCTCTCCATGATGAGCCTTGCAGTGGACAACCACAGGTCTTGAATGACGGAGTCCTGAAGGCGGACATTGAAGAGGACAGTAGTCTAACGTGTGGTGAACTTGCAAGACAGTTCAACGTTTCCAATGAAACAGTTAGACTTCACCTGCACCGCCTAGGTAAGACGTACAAACTGAGCAAGTGGGTTCCGCAAACACTGTTGGAGGTCCACAAGGGACAACGAGTGGCAGCCTGCGTATCGCTGCTTTCTCGCGACCATACCACATCCTTATTCAATTGAGTGCTTACCAGTGATGAAAAGTGGGTTCTGTACGAAACTCCCAAGCATTCCAGACATTGGCTGTCTCCTCAGGATGCTGTCCCTCACACCGCAAGACCGCCTATGCACCCACGCAAGATTATGCTTTGTGTCTGGTGGACAGGTCATCAAGTGGTTTATTATAAACAGCCACCAACGGGCCAAACGGTCAATGGAGACCTATACTCGCAGCAATTGAAACGTGTGCAACAAGCATTGCGGCAGAAGAAGCCAGCACTGGTGGATCGCAAAGGTGTGCTTTTCCTCCATGACAACGCCAGGCCGCATGTTGTGCGAGTGGTCAGGGATACCATACAGCAACTTGGGTGGAGAAATTTGTGCCATCCACCTTATTCACCTGACCTTGCACCATTCGATTACCACCTCTTCCACTCCCTGGATAATCATCTTCGTGGGAAATCCTTCACCAATGAAGCAGACTTGCACAAAGCCCTCACGGACTTCTTTGCGTCAAATCCCCAAGTTCTACTGCAAGGGCATTGAACAGCTGGAGAGACATTGGCAGAAGGTGCTGGATGCTGATGGCGATTACTTTGAAGACTAAATATAAGTTACACATACGGTGAAGCATTTTCTTTTTTTCCTTTAAAAACGGACAGAACTTTTTGGTTACCTTGTATATTTGTTGCTATATTTGTCTTCCTGATTGCTCTTTTCTCTTTCTACTTATTACTAATGTTTCTGTTCCTAATTTCTTCACACCCTCTAACCTCTTGCATATTAGTGGCTGTACTGCCTTGCTTGGGATGATACCAATTAAAAAAAAAAGAAAAAAAAAAGAGAATTTTGGAGAAACTGGAATAAATAATGACCAGAAGGTACAATATGTAGTGAAAACAGCAAATAAATGAAACTTAAGCTGTAACAATTTTTGCTTGGTTAGCAAAGAATCAAGCAATCTAGCATTGTCCAATCAGAATATCCTGCTCTCTGACCTGTGCTTTTTGTCAATTTCTGCTTTCATTTGAACTAATTGGGAGCTACACTTGTTTGAATCAAACATTTGCTACTTTGGACAGAGCTCATAGTAGAAGACACTTTTACTATCACCTTTATCATATACACAGCATCACCTTTTTGGATGAAAATCTGCCTTTGGTACAATTATGACTGTTCATTCTGCTTGCCCCATAGTATCTTGGCATTCAGTGTTGTAAAGCACCCACTTTTCATTGTTTATTATTTTCATGATATATAAGTAATCAATTACACATAGAAATACAGTCCAATTGTTTTCTTTTTTTCATTTATGTGGAATCCACACATCAAAGTAACTAACATAATCAAGTTGTTGCAAAATATATTTAGTGCTTGATTTTGATATATTGAGTATTTTAGCTATTTCTGGCATTTTACAATGTTGGTTATTCTTAATTTACTCTTTGTCTATTCAGCCTTGTAATATTGTTCAGTGAGAAATCTCCAACTAGATAACTTGTAAACAATTTTACACATTTCTTTGATCATTCTCTGTAAATGGTATAAATCTTCTATGTTTTAGTTGCATTGTTACCTTTCTTAAAGTAAAGATGGACGCAATATGCCTAAACTGTAATTTTCTTCCATCTTCAATGTTAGAATCATTAAAGAAAAATATACCAATTTTGACCAATTAAATAAATATGGTTACTGATATATTAAAAAAAAACAAACAAACACATGAAATGTCAGTTAATGATAAAGTCAAACAAATTTTTGGTCCAGTCTGTATAACTCATTAATTTGCTGAAGAGGTATTTTTAGGAAAAGAAACAAAAACATTGTTTGTTTAACTGTAAGTGCTTTATTTATAACAGTAAATAAATTTTCTCCATTTATCAATTTAAAATAGATTTGTAAATATGCATTCTAAATATACTGTGTATATGCATTACAGAGTGCGATGGATAAAATATCTTCTAAATTACACAAAAATGAAAATAACACTAATATCTCATTTTGACAGATATATTTACCAAAATTACACAAAAATATTTTGAAATACTAAATAAATTTATTCAATAAAATCATCATTGGCTTCAACCGGAGACTCCAAACGACTTCAGAATATCCAGCAACTCTTCTGGACGGTCTCCTTGTTTAAGTTGGTGAATTATGCCATACTCCTTGCCTTCAGTTCATGTTTGGTGTTACAAGGAGTTTTGTTGATCTCGCTCAACTGTGCCCCACACATAATAATCAATGGGGTTGCAGTCTGGAGAGTTAGATGGCCAGATGTAAAGGGTGATGTTGGTTTCAGAAACTGACAACCATGACTGGGTTCTCCTGCTTGTGTGGCATGGTAGAGAGTCCTGTTGCCAGCCATAGAGTATTCCAGCAGCCATCCTTTTCACCCAGAGCAGCACTACCTCCTTAAGATACTCTTTGTAGGCCTCTGTGTTGAGTCTGGGGCCCTGTGAAAAGATGAATGGAGGCATAACATCGCCATCACTGGTGATCACTCCAAACACCTTTGTAATCACTTATCTCAACTCTTTCTGAATTCTCCACACTGTCTTCAGATTGACACCTAAACACTCTAAACTGTTTGTATTGGAGCTTCTGGCCCTGTGAAAAGATGAATGGAGGCATAACATCGCCATCACTGGTGATCACTCCAAACACCTTTGTAATCACTTATCCAACTCTTTCTGAATTATCCACACTGTCTTCAGATTGACACCTAAACACTCTAAACTGTTTGTATTGGAGCTTCTGGCACAAATGTTAAGTAGTGCAGCATGCTGTTTCCATTTCTGGTGTAGTGAATTGCATCATGGTGCTCTTTTTCTCACAGACAGTACCCAACTGACCCTACTATACTGGGCAGTCGACAAAATAAAAAACAAACAACATGCATGTTTGAAATTAAAAATATATAATGACAACAATTTATCTATCGCACACTGTATTTTTCATCAAGAACAAACTCTTCAAATGTACGGGAAATAGAAACTCATATTTCACCACTCTCAAAATATATTTTCTATGAGTAATGAATATTAAAGTAAAAGGATGTCTTTTACTTACTTTGCCATAATCAACATTTTCCAAAGTGTATCTGTCTATTTCCAAAATTTTATCTCCAGCACTCAATAGATTTCCCTATAAAGAAAAAAAAAAAAAAATTTAACAGAAACACTGTACAGTAATTGGCCATGGTTAAGTGTAATCAACAATAATACTTAACAAATGGAATTGAGAAAGTTTCCAATAAACAATAAGAAAAGAAAGAGAACAGGGCAAAATAATACTGATCAAACAATATATATGCAAGACAAAAGTAAGCAAATCAGTAATAATAGACAAAATGTTCACAAAGTAAGAATGGTGTTTACATGCAAAAGGGATAAAGTCAAGTGATTTTAGCATTCTGACTTCAAGATAAGAATTAACAAAAATATGGCAGATGAAAGCAAGAAATGGTCCATTTTATTGGTTAGGAAGAAATCCCAGTATGCATTTGTAGGATTTATGTATAAATTTGGGAGGAGGATGTTTTTGCAGTCATTCCTAGATGATTGAATCATTCCAATACAGATTGTTTTTCTTTCTTGAGATGGCCTGTTTTTCATTCAATCTTTGTTTACGTTTGTGACCATGTTTTTGTCCTGTATTGGAATATTTGTAGTAAATGTTGTACCGTTTTTTGGAACTTTTTTCATGTTGGCATGCTGTACCACAACCACAATGGCCTAGTCTCCCCAGCCAATTGTTACCCAGGTGGAGACCGTCTCCAAGTTCATCTGCATGCAATTTAAATAGGCCAAAAAAGCATGTGGATGAAAGAGGAGTACCACAAATTTATCAAAGGATATGAGTTACTCACTACCCTGGAGGCATTAAATGCAGTAACCACAAGCACCTTCTCTCTGCAGACATTGGATGTCAAAACCTGTAAATTGGTCAGCATCATCAAGGAGGCCATTGAGGAGGCACTGAAATGTCTTAAGATAGTCTTGAACATTTTAGCAAAATGAGCAAATGCGATGTGGGACATACTGCTGGCATCGGAGGAGGAAGTAAAACAGCTAGCAGGCTCTGATGACAAAGACACTACAGTTGCAAACCAAATATATGAGCATCCGTCAGACAAGAATTACCATACATGGGGTGCCCTTGGACATTAACGAAGATTATGTGGGAGCCTTCCTTGCCTTACATGGGCAGGTAGAGGAAGTCGCCCACATACTGAGTAAGGCTGGTGTGCCTTCTGGACAGATCTCTATCCAAGTAATCCTGTATAGGATAAAGTTTCAGGAAATTCCCAACATTCTGGTGTAGAGGTAAAAGGATTTTTGTGGTAGTGGGAGGAAGAAGACCCCACTGTTGGTTGTGCAGCACCACTGGTCATTTGGCAAAAATTTGTCCTGGCTGAAAACAGATGCCTCAGCCAGCTACATCGAAGAAGGTAGAAGCGGAAGATCCAGATGCCAAAGGTAAGGCAAGGAGCTTCTCCTCTTCCCCGTCTAGAGTTTTGACTTCTCCTTCCCCCAACTCATCCCAAAAAAAGAAACCATTCTCATTGTATTATAGACAGGTAGACCCTTGAGAAAGAATTGTCTGCACAAAGAAAGACTCTTTTGAGACCCCTTTTTAAGTGTACCTCTGTCGATGGGAAATTGCTGGAGGACCTCGGAACTTTCAAAGTTATTACACTAATCTGTAACATGGGAAGTAATTTAAAAGTATAGGACTACTTGACAGATGCCAAAGATGCCTTCTTGAACATTAGGATGGTTCAAATAGGGTCTCCTGACCTAAAAAAAATTATTGCAATTGTGTGCTGGGGAGGGGGGGCTGTTTGGCTCCTTCCCTCTCTATATAGGGCGCTTAAGTTAACCTTCCCAACAGATGTCAGTAGTATTGTCAGGGACAGTTGAATTATGACTGACTTTGGAACTGAAAGCCTTGGACAATCCATCAGGGTCTTGACACCCCCCCACACCACTAGATTTCCATCCAGTCTGTATTTAAGGTACTTAAAAGGTGACTATTAAGCTAACTAGCTTAAATGCAAGGGGCGTGAGAGATTGGGGTAAGGCTGCTCGCCAGCTTTGTGATCTTGTCTTTCGGCGTAGATGTTGCTGCGATCCAGGTGACACATTTTGTTTGCAACATCTAGTGACTTTGTTGTTTTTTCAGCATACATGGACCAGCTGACCAGAGGTGTTTCCTTGTGAGTAAAACATTCTTTGGTTGTGAGTGTGGAAATTGTCCATGCTAATGCGAGAACCCAGTTAATCATGGCCGATATTGCCGTGAGCAGTGGTTCATTTTGGGTTGTTGCAGTTTATGCGCCCAATGACCAGATGGAACATGTTGATTTTTTCTGTCAGTTGGGGATGTTCCTGGTCAATTTGTCATGCTTAGTCTTAATGGTGGAGTGGAATACTGTCCTGAACCCCAAGATAGACAGGAGGCGGGAAGCTAGTGTGAGGTTATTGGGTGATCGTTGGTTGGTTGATATGATTGGTGAGTTAGGGCTCATCGATAGATACTGGGTGATCATTTGGGATAGGAGATGTGGACATGGGCACTTAAGCTGGCTACCTGGATAGAATGTTAATCGGAAGGGTTGATCTAGATTTGCTAGATTGTCCCATGTTCCACTGTTTATATTATTCGGACCATAGACTCATCAGTGCCTGGATGGTGTTAGGTACTATGCCTAGAATGGATGGACGCTGGAAGTTTAATCTGTCTTTATTGGACAGGTGGGACTTCCGGCAAGAGCTAACTAGATTAGTGCAGCGGGAATTAGTGGGGGCAGTTATTGGAAATAAGTGGTGGGAGAGGCTTAAGGATAGAATTAGGTATTTCACCACCAAATATAGCCAACGCCTCACTCTAGATTAGGCTGAAAAGGTAAAGACTCTAGAGGAGAGTCTGTCTCGGGCAGAGGCTAGATTCCCTAGAAAGTAGCTAGGCAGGCTCTAGAGCATGAGGTTAGCAAGTGCTACCAGGGTCAGTAAATTAGTAATAGGTTAAACTAAATGTTTAATAAGGCTTTGAATATGGGTGCAGAATTGTGCAAGGAAGAGATCCATTGAGGTTCTGAGTGATACATTCACAAGGTCAATAACCAAGAGGGGTGTACTATGACCAAGGACATGTGTGAGGTGTTTCGGCAGCATTTCAAGAAACGTTTTATCAAGGAGCCCAGTCTCTGTGGGGATGAATTTTGCAATTATTTTTTCCTTTGCTTGAGCTAACTAGAGCAGTTAGCTGTGAGGGTGAGATCACAAAGGACAAAGTTCACTTGGCATTGAACAGGGTTGGCAGTAGCAAGTCTCCAGAGCTTGATGGTCTCCCTTATGAATTGTACATCTTTGTCACACATCGTTGTTCTGATTTTGAAAGTAGTGTTCAACAACTGGTTCTGGCAGGAGTCCATCCCCAACCGGATCTCCAGGGGTGTGATCACACTGTTGAAAAAGGGGAAAGGTGTTGGGTGGGATTTAGATGATTATAGGCCCATAACTCTGCTAAAAACAAAGATTTTGGCCAAGATCCTGACGGAACATTTGCAGTCAGTTATTGCAAGCTCATTGAGACTTGTGCTGTGAAGGGACAAACAATTCAAAGCAACCTGCATCTGATTCGCATGATCTTAGAGGGTGTAGAAGATGACGATGAAACCACGTTGATCAATTTGGATCAGTCCAAGGCTTTCGATAGGGTCAATCATCAGTACCTGGCTGCTGTCCTGTAGGCTGTTGGATTGAAACCTAACTTCTGCAGGTGGATCAGCCTCAGTGATGTAGTACAGGTGAATGGAAAGCAGTCTAGCGATTTTGCGCTGTCACAGTCAGTCCATCAGGGTTGTCTGCTGTCACCCTTACTTTATACCCTGATGTTGGAGTTCCTCCTTCACTGGGTAAGAGACAGGGCATGCAGTCTGGCCCTATGCAGAATTGCTGTCCGTGGAGGAGATCGAGCCGGGGTTCTTGCATATGGCGATGATGTATCTATTTTTATGTCATGCCGTAGTAATACTGAGGTAGTACAGAAGGCACTTGATAGGTACAAAAAGGTGACAGGGGCCAAAATTAACTGTGATAAGTCATTTGGCTTGCGGTTAGGTGCCTGGAAAGGGGTCGCCCTTCCAGGGCCATTTAGTTGGACAAACAGACCTGTCCTCATTCTTGGAATGTGGTTCAGGCCTGGTCTCCATCTGAAGAATTGGTCTGAGGTAGAGTCAAAGGTTAGAGTAGTGGTCCAGACTCGCCTTCAATGGTGATTGTCTGTAAAGGGCATGTGTCACTTACAGCTTTGCTATTATCCTTCCTCTTTGCAAGAACAGAAAGAAGGTGCTTAATTGCTTGTTAGCCACCCTCTTGTGGGGTGGTTGCAATCATCTGGTCTGCAGAGAGGCTGTGCAATGTCTGTGTAATGGGAGGCAGGGAATGCCATGCTTGATTTGCCATCAGCACACTTCAAGGTTGGTTTTCCTATGCCATGCATTGATGGAGGACTCAATTTTGGAGGGGAGTATTAGGGATGCCTTTTCTAGCTTTACCATCACTCACACCATTTCAGAGGCTGAGAGCCATCGTAAGCTTCGGAATCAATCAAGATCCCTGCAAGAGTGATGGGCAGCCTTAAGGGCCAATTCTCGGTCCAGTGACCTTTCACAGCCTCGTAGGCTTTTGTAGTGATCTAGTGGAGAGGATTGCGATGGACTGTCTTTGGCTTGGCAGCATCAGGGTTGTGATCTTTCTGGTCTTGGGTGCCACGAGCGAACTATCTCAGCAAACCTGAGTTTTTGCTTACCTAGCAATTGATTTGGAACATGTTACCTCTCAATGACGTAGCCTTCAGATGGGGTTGGGCAGGGTGTGACCTTGGTTTAGAAGAAATGGCTTTGCACGCCTTCTACCACTGTCCTCATGTGCGCCCTTTTTGGAACTATGTCGGCTTGTATCACTCCCGGTCAGTGTTCATTGATCTCGTGTATACATGTGACAAGTGTCACCCCTGTTCTCTAGGGTGAAATGGATGATTTTTCTCACATTGCTGACTGTGGCAAGAATGGTGGTGTGACCATCACAAATGGAGGGAATCTTGTGGTATAAGCGTTATCTCATCAGGATCTGTTTGGATTCATTGGGTATCAGCTCAGGATGAAGATCAGATCTGATAGTAAGCATTTGATATCAACAGATTTCAGTGAAAGGTGGGTATCTGTGATGATCCTGGTTTGCATGAACAAGGCTAGCCGTAATTTTCTCTTAAGTTCCCTTAATGCAATGGAGTGGTTTCCTGTGAACCCTACTCTGGTTAATTTATTCACATTAACTAGGGAAACAAATAGTGTCTAAGTGATGTTTCTGGCCTGTTCCCAGCACTCTCTTTTGTTATGATCCATGTCAAGATTCCCGACCTCCCCAGTTTGTTTTTGTCCCCTTTTTTCATCTTGAATGGGCCAGCCTTTGATTTACCTATTCCATCATTTATTTTTTATCTTTCCCAATCCATTTGTGAGTGTGCTATTTGATTCTGTCTATCAGCAGAATACAGTGGCCACTCTTATTATTTTGAGATGTGGATGGGTCCTACTAACATTTATTTCATTTTAGTTTGCATATTTTGTTGTATTTTAGTTTTGTTTTTGGGTTCATCCCCTCCTTCCATCATTTCATATTTCATGAAATTTTTATATATGTAAGAAAAAAGAAAATAAGAAAAGCATTGAGCATTTATTAATTTGATTTGGGTGATTTGTAGGTCTTGTGAATATGTGATAATATGGTATATGTAAGGTTGAGACATGAGGGTTAATATTTTTTTTTTTTTAAAGCATTACACCCCGAGCAAGGTGTGAAGCCACTAGGATGCAGGAGGTTGCAGAAGATTTGGAGCAAGAGCAGATAGGAGTGATAGAAGAAAGGATGAGGAGAGGGATAGTGGATAGATCAAGGTAACTGGAGATGTTGATTGACATTACATTTGAATAGTTGGAGATTATAGCTCTCCGGGAAACAGTAATTGGGAAGGGTGTTCCACAGGCGAGAGGTGTGAGGTATGAAGCTATTGGAGTAGAAGAGATGGCTACATTTAAAAGCTTCTACAGTGTAAGGGTGGGAGCGGGATGCCAGCCTCGTAGGGCGCTTGAATTCATGGAGTTTGGGAACCAGTGAAAGCATCTCATCGGAGCAATTACCATGAAAGTATTTGTAGAAAAGGCAGAGAGAGGTGATGGCGCGTCTGTGAGAGAGTGACTGTAGACGAGACGCCAAATCATGGCCAATTATATTACATATCCGTCTCTGGATCTTGTCAAGAACTCCGAGGTAAACAGAAGGTGCCCCAGACCATATATGGCAGCAATACTCTATACAAGGGTGAATGGTTGATTTGTATATTTGAAGTATCAATTCCGGGGAGAAAAATTTCCTGGCGCGGCACAGAGAGCCAACTTTCCTCGTGGTGGAAGAAGCAATTGACTCAATGTATTTGTTCCATCTCAGGTCAACAGTCAACGTGAGACTGAGCAGACACAGGGAGTTGCTCTCAAGAAGTTGACTATCAGACATTCTAATGGGCGGCAGGGAAGGATCATCTTGTGGTGATTGGGTATATTATAATGAATGAATGGGTTATGACAGTGATTAACTAGAACTAGGGTAGTCAGTGAAGACCAGCCTTTTCTCCACTTCCCCTTTGGCTTTGTGCCACAATTTCTGTATATAAACAGGAATAAATGTACATTCTTAGATGATTGGAACCGACACAGACAAAAATAACATGAGGCATGATTGTATTCTTAGTAAAATAATCAAAATCATTATAATCAGAAAGGAGAGTAAGTTTCAACTGTTATTTATAAATCTTTGGAAATAATATCAAACTAACTTGAGAAACATCACTCCCTGGAATTATTGATTTTATATATATTCCAGTTTTTGTTTTATCTTCTGTTGTTGTAAATCCAAAGCCAGAAGGTCCCTATAAAAAGTAAAAATAAAAAAAAATATGTGTAAGGATGAAAACAAAAAAGTAGATATTAATTTTGTCTATGGTTTATTCTACAGAGGAAATATAAAGATATTATAACAGTATCAATACAATTTTTCTAAAGATATTTCAGATAACACAATAAATGAAAGTGAAATTAGTGAAAGATCAAGAATAATAAAATAATAAAGAGATAAAACAAAATCAAAGCAAAAATGCTTCACAATATTTTTCCATTATCGACATTGATTTTTTTCTGTTTGTGGTCATGTTTTGTTTTTTTTACCATAACACAGCAAAAATGGTGATATTTTTAAGACAATAGTATTAAAATGTTATAATATGAAGAATAAAGCAAGCTGCAACTTAATGTGGGATCTATGTCTCCTAATGATCCAATTTTTATGCTATCATATGCAAATTAGATAGACAAGTATAAATAGACAACAACTGGCAAACATAGGGGCCATGCCTAGCAAACCCAGTTGCTATTCAGGACACTGAGAACTGTACTACTACTACTACTACTACTACTACTACACATAGAGATACACAAAACATGTATTTGTTACAAAATTTGAAATGAAAATCGTCTCAACATTGAAAGAGGAAAATTAAAAGATTACAATTTTCTGCTTAAAATAATCCCTTTATTTTGTAAAATGTTTTTTTTACATTTTTATATAGAAATAAAAAGTTGTTCTTATTTATTCTTAGTTGCTGATAATCATACATTCTATAAATAGGAAGCAATTTTATGTCAATCTTAATAGCCACCTATCAGCAATTAAAATAGAGATCTGAATTTTTCAATAAATATCATAAATTATTTAAAATGAAATAAGTAGAGTTCACTATACACAAATAATACTTCAAAGTATAAACTAATTAGACTATTCAATTGTTTCTCACAGTAAATTAAATCCAACTCATTAAGCTTAAATAAGTAACTAACTTCATTTGTGTTTAAGCAGTATAAAGAGCTTAACAATAAGCTAATTTTGATGGAAAACTACTAATATTCTTTAAAAATTTAGGAATTAAACTATAAGAGTTAAAACCAAACATAAGATCAGAAGGATTAAAAACATAACATTAGACAAAAAGATGAATATGAGACATGAGTGAAAACTGATAAATGAAGATAAACAAAAAGGTGTACAAAGAGCTTATATTATAAACTAAAATTGTAAAAATCAGTTTTAAAGAAAATATTTTTAATGGTTTGTGAAATTCATGCTGGAGATTTTTTACTCGAAGATACTCCATGTATGTATCCCAGCACTCAGCTTACAGCCGATGAAATTCTTAACTAAACACTAAAAAAGGCATATATTCAACTCGCCGTGTTATTTCATTCAATATCTCCATAAAAACAGAATGCATGCCAAATAAAAGCTTATTTCATGAACTTTGTTTCTATCTTATTTATTTTTATATGTGTGCAAGGAACATTAGAGTTTGAAAATAGAGACATTTTGGCGATTTTTCAAAATTTTGGCCATTTTTATCGCTGATGGCAGTTTAGACTTCCTCAAATTTTGTAACATGTGCATTCCGCAGGGTTTATTACAATTTTGGTAACACATTAGTTTGAAATTTAACATTCTAAGCTTCATTTTCATATATTTTATAATTTTAATAAGAATTTTGCAAACAATTCAAATGAAAAGTTTGATTGTAAAATTCAAAAGCTTCTTGTAAAAATAAAAACACATAAAATATATTAAAACGCTCATTTAATAATCTATGAAACTAAATCAAAATCAAGTATGAAACAATAACTCCATTTTGTGCGTGTGCGATTATATGTAACCATGTGCAACTCGCTCGGCCATTTCAACTCTACGCAATAGTCAATACACAGTGTCAACATGGACACCCAAGAATCGACCAGCATGTTTTCTATGGAAAAAATTTTCAAGGAAATTGGTAAGAATTTGTTTTAAATATTAATTTTTTATGACATGTAAAATATAAATGGGATTTAAAAACCGTTTTCGTCATAAAAAATATGATACAAAAATCGATTTGTTTACTTTACCCTCAGATTCAAATCACAAAAAAAAAAAAAAATGTAGGACTTATTGATCGGAAAATGTTCATATTCAAAGAATGAGATAAAAAACATTCTACAAAAAATTCTAGAATGTCTTTTATATTTTTGCAGTATTCTCACAATAATTATCAGCATTTCAGTTACCAAGTAGTAACATTTTGTTTTGTTTAAAAAGTTAGCCCTTCAAACAATTTTCTTACTTTTTAAATTATCTAATGAATGGATTTTAGTTATGATTTATTGCTATCTAGATACAAATTTATGATTTAATATTCATTTTCCTAATTTATTATTATTTCTTAGTAATATTTATTTCATACGGATTATGATTGTTTATTTTATTCTAAAATATTTTAATGTGTCAGTTTTAAGGACCATTGTGGAAATAGGTTTGTTGAGAAAATATTTTAGTGCTTCCTTATTTGTTACTCAGGTGTATGGATGACTCTAAATTTATATTTATCCCTGATTGTATTTAGTGCAATTTTTTTATGAACTGCAAATAAACTCAAATTCAGTAAGAAAACGTAGACAATAATTTGTAGATGACTACTAAGTAGTACTTTGACAAAATGAGATAGGATTATAAATTCATTTTTTTTTCTTTTTGAAGATAACGATGTACAGAATCAGATACAACGTTGTTTTATAACAAAAGGATGTGGAAGGAAGATGTCTTTGCCTAAAGTGGAATGTTCCAAAAAGGTGCTGCTTCAAATATATTCATTGAAAGAGAAGTATCAGGAAACCTGGGATTCTGCTATTACTTGGCTACATAAATTGTTCCCAATCTTTTCTAAGAACAGATGGGTACACTTTATTGAGAAAGTTCACAGTTGTCCAAAAGTGGATCGTCCTGCATTGTACCATGAAGTAACAAATTTGGGATTCATAGGTGAAATATGTGAGAGTGTTGGATTGACTCTCAGTGTTTTGTCAGATCCAATGCTGGGTTGTAAGCTTTTATGTGCGGAAGTAACAAATGGGCTCATACTTGAACTATATAAACTGGATACGCCAGCAAAGATATACTAGTCAGACTAGAAGAACTTGGGTAGTGCCTGAATTAGATTATTTGAAGGGATTGTATGAAGAGTATGCCAAGACTTACTTTTGACTACTCAGTGAAGAGGTATCCCAATACCCAGCCCACCATTACTGAAAATTTCCAAATAAACTTTATTTGATTAATTTTATATCTGTGTTGTTTATTTTTATGTGCATAATGTGAATGGAACATTACAGTTTAAAAATTGAGACAATTTGGTGATTTCATACAACTTACGTAGTGATCGGAACTAACATGTATCAGAACTTCAACCTTTTGATCAAATTGTGACAGATAAAATATTTTTATTTTAATGATTTCAGTTACAAATTTAGTGGTAGATTACCACTTTTCTGTTGTTCTCTTATGTTCATTAGTGCGTATTGCTTGGCGTGTGTTAAGCTTCTCTCTCTCTATCTCTCTACAGTCCAGAAATTGTACATGTTGAGTCAGGACTGTACTTGTTCAGCATCTACTCTATATACATTCTAATCTGTTGATTTTAGGTCATTTTAACCATGATAAATGAAAAGAGCACCCCCAGAAATGGCTAGATATGAAATTTGGTGTTTCTAGTGTAAGAAGTATCCATTTTATGACTCAATTCAAGCAAGTCTAAAATCGGCCTTTCAAATACCTTGTGACAAAGGGTTAAAAAGCAATTTTTTTCAACTTTGAAGTGGAATAATTCAGAATATATCCATTCTATCACTCCAAAAAAAAAAAAAATAGGCATGTTACTGGTATAGTCACAATGTGATATGAATGTGGGTCTTATTTCCAGTTTTATGAAATGTCAAACCTCAGGTTATGAGTTGTTTGCATGTTGTTGCAGAGGGTTTTATTTATAAAATTTGCATATTCAGACTGAATTTATTTAAGAAATATGCAGTGATACTATCTGTAATCTTATTAATTTCTTTGTTATGTACCTAACAAGCTAATATAATTTTAACTGTTGTTCTTAATTGCTTTTTAAAATATAGGAGTCTAAATATGGTATTTTGTCCTAATTCATAATACACAAAAAAATGGCGAGCACATGTGTAAAAATAAAAATAAATCTGCCAAAATTAAACGGTTTGAGATATTTTGATGAAATAAAAACTGCTAAGTTTCTTTAATCATGTAGATTAAGATGATGCAATCAGATAACACCTAGTACCCATGTGAAATTTTCATCTGTGATACCATGGCTAGCTATGTTTTGCTGTTTGTACAGCATTTTCTCCTTCCCAGAAATAAAAGAGCATCAAATGACAGAAAATGCATCTCATTTTCTCACATTTTCATGATTAACATAAAATCATTTAAAATTCAGTTCACAAAAAAAAAAGTCATCAATTTTGAATCATGTGTGAAACAAAATCATGTTCAAATGCTACCTATTGAAAAATGCTACAAACTTTTGTGCCAACCCAATAATCTTACTTATTATAAAACGTAGATTGTTTGTGTGTGTGTCTGTACGTTTATATATTGGATCGGATTTCCTACATTTTTCAACCGATTTCAACAAAACTTCACCGGACTACATAAAATTACCCTGCGGTGGTTCTAACAGCGCCAAATATTGGAAAAACACAACTGTTTTTGCACAAAATAAATTTGAAAGCACGGTTAAGTGTATCGCACGCGGCCAGAAGTTACTGTCAGCTACTCAAACGTCCGAATGCCGTTAACTTCCGGTGACTCAGCATTTTTTACTGTATTCAATAAGTAAAAATCATAAATTGTAAAAGATTACAGAAAGGCTACTAAATGAATACGATTTGTTAGATCATAATTAATAAACCCAAATAAAGTTAATATTTTTTGTATTAGAAACAACGAGTGGAAAATATATTCAAATTAGAATTCTAACTATGAATCACCACAAGCAAAATATGCAATTTTTTTTACTGTATTCAATAAGTGAAAATCATTTTGGCAGATAGTGTTTCTTATTGTCTTGCACACTTTTTTCTTTATTTTTAAATACAGAATGCTTTAAAAATTCCATTTACAAGACAATTGTTTATAATAAAATTCTATTCAATTGGTAGATCCATAATGATTGAAAACAATGTCTTTGTTTGAGTTTGGGTTTGACCAATTCGTAAAAAAAAAAAAAATAATTAAGACATGCGTGTCCGTCAACCTTAAACAATAATCTTTGTCAATTTTATTTTTCAGTCTTTATGATGGTCGATACTTGATCTATCTCTTACTGTTACATCCCCGGGCAACGCCGGGCTCTACTGCTAGTTATAAATAAATTTGTTTCTACTTTGAATTTATTTTGATTTTTGAAACTATTTATTTGGAATTTTTCTTCCAAGCATAGTTAGAAGTTTTTACTACTGTTATTGATAGAATGTACCCATTTTATGAATCCCATCATCATTAAATGGTATTGAATGCTGGTGAAAAAGTTTTTTTCTTTTTCCCCATAAATACTTTGAAAGTGTTTTATGATTAACACATCTTTTTCTCTCAAAATACTTTTTATGATTATAATACCTTTCTTTTAGAGTTTTTTTTCTGCTATTCCTATATTTTCTTCTGTATTAATATTGTCTATCATAGAGTTATATATTATTCATGAAACATTTATTTTCAATAGCACATTTTCTTTTATTTTTGCAATTGCATGAAATTATAGTATTATAGTTATTATTACTACTACTGCTATTATTGATATTTTATTTATTAAATTCCTAATTTCAATTATTTTTTATGCTCGTTTATTATTTTTCTTTTTTCCATTCAACTTAATATTATTTCTATTAATTTTTGATAGCTTAGTATTTTTAGGGAAATGTTTTTCAGTTAACATGGATATTATTTTGCTTATTTTGTTTTTATTTCATTGTTCTAAGGTGGGTTAAACCAAATTATATTTTGCTTTATACTGTTTTTGCTTATATTTGTTTCCATTTTGTATTTTAATTTATTTGTATAACTATTTTTTTCTTAAAATGAGTACATATTCTTTTTTTATCCATCAGTTTTTATTATGGAATAATATTAATTTTCCACAATGTTTTATTTTGATTTTATCTCCAGAAATGTTTATATGTTGCTTAGCTAAAACTAGTGCTTCATTTAATATATTCTCTTTCACAGAGGGATAGAATTTTTTTTTAAATCAAACTGTATAAATGTACAGTTTTTCTTATTTTGATAGTAAGTTTCCTGACAAATGGTAAAACTCAGGGAAAGAAAAGTGAACATTTAATTTTATTTGTTAGTATTAATTCTCTACCTCTTGTCATTGAGCATTATAATTGTAAAGACTACTTGCCTTAAAATGGATTATTTAATGACAGCTATTCAAATTTTTAGATTGATTTTCTTAAGTACTGTAAAGTAATAGAAGTTAATAATTGAAAATTCATGCTATCAACTATTTCTTCCCTCACTTTTTTCATGTATTCAAAATCAATATCAATAAAGTAACTCTGAATTAGTTAAATATCTCACCTTGCAGAGTCTTTTTTCAGATAAGCAATATAGCTTTTGTTTTTCTAGGTTAACTACTAATATGTTAACAAATTATTACAGAAAGGGTCTATCAAGCTTTAGATAAGAATGGTGAAGTTTGGGCTGCTAGTTCGGATATTTTGAAGGCATTTGACAGGGTTTGATATACAGGTCTTCTTCTTCACAAGTTGAAAGATTAAAGTATTTCTGGGTGAATTTTGAACTGATTCAGTCTTTCTTATCAAATTGCAAAATGAAAGTTGTCTTGAATGGCCACACTTCTAGATCTTTTTGCATTAATGCAGGGGTCCCCCAGGGCTCTAACATTGGACCTACATTGTTCCTAATTTTTATAAATGACCTAGCTGATGCCATCAGTTCTGATCCTGGTATTTATGTTGATGACACAACTATTTACTTCAGTCTTAATAGTAGGTCTGATTGGTTCAATATGGTCAAATTGGCAGCTGATCTAAAAAATGAGCTATAATCTGTTGTTAACTGGGGTAAATGATGACGTTAATTTTAATACCTCCAAAATGAAACGGCTCTCTTTTAATTGTTTGAGAGATTTACCTTCCCTGAAGATAACTGATGATAACCTCAAGGAGAGTGACTCATTATATTTTTTCAAACTAGCATTTTCTGCTAACATGAAGTGGAAATATTATATTGAATCAATTGCTAGGTCTGCTGCTAGAAAGTTGGTCCACTGTGATGTGCTGCTGCTCCTGATTAAGAAATTCTTGATAAAATTCAAAGAATCTACTATGTTATTCATCCTGATTTGGCAGCTCACTTTCAGTCCCACCATCATAACATTAGCTTCCCTGTGCTTTTTCTTTAAATACTTTCATGGTAATTGTTCTGATGAACTTTCCTCTATGATACCTAGAATTTATTAATGTAAGAACAGTACTAGATTACAGACAAGTTGAAATGGTTAGATGTAACTATAAGTTCTATCTGTCTATATTTTGATATTTCAACCACCTGAAGAAGGCCGGAGCATACAACGGACAAAATGTTGAATTAAACATGGCGACAAAGATGAGGACAATAGTCCAAATAATGTAAATAGTGTATATAAGTTTCTTTCAGCTTCTTGCTTTTCAGTCAGCTTTCATCTTTAAAAATTGAAATGTCAATCATTATCTACCTTCTTCTTAATTCTTGTTCTTTTGTTCTCTCTCCTTGATAGTGTTTTTCTCATCTCACACTCAATAACCCTTTGCATCTTGATGACTTTATTGCCTTATTTGGGATTAAATGATTTAAAAAAATAAAATAAAATCAAGCTTGTAAATCTTTGAATATAGAAAAACGTTATCATCTGTTCGCAGATCTTACAGAAAAGAAATAGTATGAGCATTGATATTTAAGAAGTATGATGCATCTTTTGTTTTGTTGAAACTTATTTTAAAAGGTAAATGTACAAGTCTTATATAGATAAATAACCGTAAAACATTTTCAAAAACATAATGTCACTCAAATCAGAACAAAACAATGATACAAGTTTTGCTTACAGTTTGAAATTTAATTTTTCCTAGTGGAAAATTGAAATATTAAATTCCAGACTGAACAAAAATAATTATTAGGAATTTATAAATAAAAAATATAATTATTTTAAACATGTTCACTATTGTTCTTTTATTATTAGTTCACTCATATTGTCAAAAGATTTAGCAGAAATATTTAAATAATGTTGTAATTGCACTAGTGATGTTTTCTGCATGAGTAATCTAGGATTTTTATTTATACAATTAACAACTGCTTTATGTAAGAAACATTTCTACTTTTTAAATCAATAAAAGTAAAAATGATTTAAGAGAAAGCTTATACAAAACAAAAAATAAAAAGCAATATGTTAGTAGCTTAAACTCCTTTATTCATTTCATAATTATGTTGTTAACAAGATCTATGTTCACTTATTCATTTTGAGTAATACTTTCTGTTTCCATAATCATGGATTATTCATTATCTCAAATAGGGGAGATATAGAGGAATGACTAACCAATATGTAAAGTACCATTGTTTTTTTATATTAGTTTTCTATTGTAAAAGAGACTTTATTTTATTGCAATTTCCTTTTACTACAACTCAATGTCAATTCAAACACCATCAAAAGTTACTTCTGTTTGATTGACCACATGAAGAATGTGCTGTGGAAGAGGGGAGATTCTTAAGTGGGAAACTTATGATTATGGAAGACATAATATTTAATAATCAAGATTAAAATTTTTAAAAAGAGAAAAAGGATTGGAATTATGACTTCTTGAGTTTCAAAATATATTAACAGGTTGTTCTAAATAATGTGCAAGTACAATGCAATGATTATATAATGCAACCATTATACAACTATTATTTTATTATCACACAAATTTTTTTTTTTTTTTTTTTACCTTGTTTACTATAACAACTTGAATAGCATCTTGAAGAAGCATAGCTGGGGAAGTTTCCTCTGTTGGGACCCTAATCTCAATATGTGATGGCCCTTGAACTGAGTGGATGTTATCTTCATGTTGAAATGATTCATTTTGCTTAAATAAAAAAAAGTTCTTCTCATATTTTTGTAAAAATAAAATAAAAAATAAAGTAGAATTCTAGAATTATGAAAATACAAATTGAAATTTTATATTCAAGAATAACCAAGATTAACAAAAGAATTTATTCTAAGAAATCTTCTCTTAAGTTTAAATTTCCATTATCTGGTATTTATGAAATGTTAATTTAAATTTCTTCAGGTAATGGTACACAAATGCTCATGGGCATTAAGCATAGATATACATAAATACACATTTATATAGGGACTTAGAGCTTGTGATGGGTAGTTTACTAAAAAATAAATAAACTATCATTACACATACCACCAACCAAAGATTTTTAAACAATTTTTATATAGTAATTTGTAAGATGATTATGTAATGCTAGACTAGACATAGATTACAAACTGAAGTTGGCATTTAGTTGGACATGCAAAATATATAAGTAAAAACCTAGATTGAAAGACATTTTTTTTTATTTGGTTATAAATAACTAAGCTAATTTTATTTATTTTATTTTAATTTTCAAACTGTACATACATTTTCAGTTCTACCCAAATAAATTTATATACTGCAAATACAAGAAGATGCTGTAAACTGCTTGGCTTAACTAAAAGCCATTACAAGAAAAATGAGTTTTTGTGATTTGGTTAGGTTTTAGAAAGTGGATTGGGCCAAGAGCTTTTTCAGCACTCATATAAAAGGAATTATTACTAAATTGAGTCCACAGAAAAATTTTAAAATTTAATATTTACTTCTTCTGATGTTGCAGGTAATAATTTTAAGGGTTTTACTGCCATGTGCTCCAGGTAATTTTCTGACCTAGAAATGTAAAAAAGAACTTAATTCACATAAAATATTAACTCAACATAAAAGAAATATATGCTATTATTTTAATATTTAAAATTCAGCTTAAATTCAAAAGCTATATTTTATATAAAAAAAAGAAAATTTGTTCTAAATAAAACTGCAATGAAAATGAAGTAAAATGTAATATATGAGAGGATACTGAAAGTTACTGGCCCAACTTACTTCTTAAAATCACTATTTCAATGACCACACACATTAGATCACGAATTTTGGGAAATGAGTCAGGCTGAGAACTTTTCAGTACCCCTACATAGTGTATATAAGATCAAGACAGCAGTCAAAATAGGAAAAAAGAGCTGAAGTTTAAAGAATAAAATAAAATAGCATTAGGTACAGCTGCATTGGAACCTACAGATAGCCTTGAATCACCAAGGCACAGGCAATTTGCATTTTTTAGGAAAGCTGTTTTTACAAACAATCTTATGAAATTTTCTTTTGCAGAATTACACCGAGTTTAGAAAAAAGCCAAACTTATTTTAAATTGGGATTGGTTAACCAAACATCCAGGTCCAGGTATCAAGCAAAATTGTTTAAACTTAGTTGAAAATCAAAACATTTCCTAGAAAGAAAATTCAAACAATAATTAAATTAGGGATGTCATAATATTATCTTTATAGAACTGTGATGTAGAGAGGATCTCATATCTTTTCTGGGAAGTCAGATAAGGTTGCAATTAATGAACAAAAATCCTATCCATCATTTATTTGATCCATGGTCTTTGTAGTTCAGAGATCAGATACCCTTAAGTGTGAGCAATGATTAAATTCTCAACAGAGATACTCCAACTAACACAATCAGTTACTTGCAGCAATACAGCAGTTAAGGTGGTAGTAGATGTGAGACAATACAGAAAAAGCAACTTCATGCCAAAGCCTGTTTCAGAAACAATTTTGTACAAAGATGTGTTTTCTTTAAAAGTATTTCAGAGATATTTCCATTCTAAAGCTTGTTCCTTTGAGTGACACACTGTTGCAGTATAATACCAGAATTTCTCTCCATCAAGGTTGATATAAAAAGAATATCCTTAAACATCACATGTGCAACTTGCAAGAAACTAAAGAATTTGTAGAAGAGTTCAATTTATGAAAGAATTCATATGTAGAATACTATTTTATAATCTTTCTCATCTTAATTATTCAGCTGTATATAACAGCAGAATAAAAATACTATTCAAAATACTATGCAGTCAGTATTTAGAAAATCCTATTACAAGACAACTTCAAAACAGTACCTTAAAATATCCACCTAAAATACTAAGGACAGCAGCAGAAATTTATGAAATGTATAAATTTATCTCTTGATCTGACTATGTTGGAAACTAGCAGTTACTAGCCAGTTAACAGAGAAGCAATTAGAAAAATAGGTGTGTATCACATGGTAAGGAATGAAAAAGAATGTATTTCTTATTTAATTTATATTTAAAAATATATTTATTTAATTTTAATAAAAAAATTTAATTTTAATTAAAAAATATATTCTTATTTAAATTATATTTAAAAATATTATTTTATTTATATTTAAAAATATAGATCGATTTTATTTATTTTAAAAATAGAGATATCTAGAGTTTATAGAAACTTCCACAGATTTGCAATACCGAAGGTTTAAAATGAACTTCTAAAATGAGAAATCTTTCTTGAAGCTTTTATTTTAGTTTTAATATCAAGCTAATAGATTAAATTCAATATTTCCAATAAACAAAATACCTTACTGTATTTCAAGACTAATTTAAAGTGATTGGAAAGAGTTTTCAATTTGAAATTGCTGAAAATTTTTATTTTAGCACCATTTTTAGCCACTGATCATCATAATTTATTAAAAAAAAACCTTCCAAAAATAAAATATACTTTTCTGAAACTTTATTTGAGGAATATTAGCTGATTTAAAGTATAATTCATCTGATAAGAAAAAACTACTATTTACTTAACTAAATTTAAGTTTAAAATATCACAGAAATCCTTTTTTTTAAACATATTGGTAGGTGTTTATTTAAGCCTTTGAGGTGTTGCCAGCTTGATGACAGATCGATGTTTATCTAATGTTGTTCTATGGCGGCTTCATGCGTAAAAAAATAATTGAATAATATAATGTGAGCACTTTTTATATATAGTTTTGAAGTACTTTTAAAAATTTTGAAAAATATTCTCTGTAATCTAATGTTTTATTGAATTATAGATACATTGGCTTTAAATTTACAGTAGTTATCACTCTTATTTTCTGATAATGTCACGTATGGGCAAATATATGTACAAAAATCAGCATATTTATCTTCTTTTATGTGCTGTGCCCCTTCAGGATGTAGACGATCATGGCCCTCTACATCCTCCTGTCCTTTGTAGCTCTTAATAAGTTAATGAGTGGCCCTGCTGCTTTGTTTCTGCTCAATTCGGCCAGTGCAACTTCCACTTCAGTTTTTAATATTTTTGGCCCATTGCTATTTCTGTGTATTGCTAGTTGTTCTCTTTTGTTGTGGAAGATCTCTGATATATTTTGTTCCATTGCTAAAAAATTTTCTTTTCATCATTATTTCATCCGTAGATTTTATGCAGCCTGTTGATGAGCATGACTTTTGTTCTCTTATATTTTTTTTTTACATAAAAAAAGAAAAAAAAAGAGATAACGAACAGAGACATTTATATACATACAAAAACAATTCAAAGTTTTTTTTTTAAACACATGGGGTCTGTAAATTGTAATAATCTTTACAATTTATGATTAAGAAATATAGTTTTACTTAGTAACAATATTCCCTAACCGTTACACCATTAAAACTGAATTTTAAAAGATTTTTAAAATTTATAAAAATGAAAACAAATCTTGTAAAAATTCATTATTCATCAAAAATGTTTTTTCTTAAGACAATAGTATACTTAATATATCTTATTTATAAAAGCAATTAAAAGCTTTTCTAATTAAAAGCAATTAAAAGCTTTTCTTTGTTTTATTGCATTTTTTATTCAGAGCAGATTTTTGGTAAGATGGGGTCTGATTTTACAAAAAAAAAAAAAATGATGATGATAATTTAAATTCTCTAAGAAGTTTTGTTTTTAACTAATACAGTCACTGAAAATTATCTTGTTGAATTTCTCAAGTTTTCATAAAATTAAGTGGGGTGTAACACATAAAAAAAATATATTTTTACTAAGATTTCTAAAAAAACATTTCTAAAATAATTTAATTCATTTGTGAATAAGTACTGAAAATTTTATTAAAATCCAACAAACAATTATTTGATTTTTGCAAGAATTTTCATATTAATATGTCATTCACCACAAAAAGATGCTAAAATTTGCTATGCTAATTTATAGTCTATTTGCAAATGCAAGAAAAACAAGATTCTTAATTAAAATTTCAAATGTTCTAAAAAAGATTAAAAAACAAATAATTAAAAAAATTGATCTTTCCTCTTAATAATAACAAAGATCTTGACAAGAAAACCTAGTTTTATCAAGTTTGGGGCATTTCTTTCCTCATAGTATGCTCTTTTTTCAAAGATTTTATGGAGGTATCTACACTTTTATAATTAGAGAGCAATCTTGTTTCATTTTTGATTTATGAACAAAAATATTTAAGATAAAATTTTCCAGTATACATTTTTTTTATAAGAACTCTTTAAATGACTAAACAGTAGAAGATATAATTATGAAGATCATCAGAAACTGTAAAAAATAATATTTATAAAGTTTCATTTAGTGGGTAAAAATCAAGTAAAGCTCATCATATTCTATGATTTATAATTAAAAATTAGAAGAAAATGCAATTACCTAAGTAAAACAACTTTAAGAATTGGCTGGGTAAGTCCTTTTATAATAGCTGAAGCATTCAGATGGCTTCTACCATATAGAACTTGTCCATTCACCTGTAAAAAGAAAATAGTTTAATAAAATATCCAATCATTTCCTACATGACAACAGCTGTATTTGATTTTTTATATTCATTTTTTTTTTTTTTTTTTCATCAAAATTTACAACAGCAGCATTTTAGAAAAAAGTAATATATTTTAAATTTTATACAATAGTTTATCTCTGAAATATATAATTTCAGAAATAACATTTATCCACTGATTATCATTATTATTATTATTATTATAATACAATAATTGCAAATCCTAATGTTTTCATAAAAATAATCCACAAATATATGTATTCATATTTTATTTTATTTAAATATTTACAGAGTGCACAGATAATACACCAATCTTAGACAACCTGATTCATATGAAAAAATTCCTACAATTTCTATACCTATAAAATAAGAAAAATATAAAACAGTGCTTTTAAAGAGTACACATACATACATGCACACACAGAGGTAAACTACAGCAATTTCTTGTTTTACATGTGTAATTATCATTCTGGAAATTTCAACAAAAGCCATGTTCAGTTACCAGGAGATCTTGTGTATGCATGTATGTTTGCTGGTTGTCTCTTCACCTCTATTTGAAGCATCAATAATTTTGTTCATTTGAAGAAGTTGAATAGATGAAAATATGGCTAAAAAAATCATCATAGCTTGAAGGATTTAAAATTGTTGAAGCTGTCAAGGATTTTGTTCTAAATGTCAATCCCAACAAGGCAAAAAAGTCCACATAAATTTGATAAAAGCAATCATGTTATAAGAAAATATATCTTGGGAAAACATTGTCCAGTCAACTTTGGACAAGAATTTTTCTTATAAATATTTTAGTTATGAAGTAATTATAAAATAAATTACAAATATAATTATTTTTACCAACTTACAGCTTTGACATCATATACAGTTACAGTTTTTAAAACCTTATTTCATACATCTTGATAGTTGACTTGAAAGAACAAGTATTCATTGTAGGTTATAGAATTCATTAAATATGAAATACAATTCCATCTTGTGTGCAAAAATTAGTAGAAATTATGTAAAATAATGTTTGCTGATAGATAGAAATGTACAATGTAATTTTTTGATTAAAATAAAGAAGAATTTATATTTGGTCTGATTACAATCTTTTCAAAGCAATAAAAATGACAAAGCATTGTTCTATATCAACTCAACCAAAATTTTTGAAAACTTCCATGGGCACCATCTCAGATTTTTATGAAATTTTAGTATATGTACCCACCTTTGAGAAATGAAAAACTCTAAAGTTTTGCTTCCTTAGCCTCTTAATTCAGGATTTATAGCTTCTTGAAATTTGCTGTCAATTTTTGCTGATTGTAAAATAGGTCAATTTACCAAATGTGGCACTTCATAATTTTGTATTCTTAGAATATACTAATTTAATATAATTATATATAAAATCTTCTGCTCACCTTTGTGAGATCAATGAAAGTGAGGCTTGATGATTTTTTTCAACATTTCTACTAGATCTGAGGTACTTAGAAAAATGTCAACTGTGGATATCTCAGCCCCAAGTTTGTAATGGGATTTTGGAAGATATGGTCAGTAAGACTTGGAGTTTGTAGCTGTTACAGTTACATTGTTATTTTTATACAGAGTGGCAATCTTGGCATTATGCATGCTCTGAATTACTTATCCTTCTCTTAAGAGATGCCAAAAATCATGAAGTGGTTCCAATAAAGTATCTTTTTAGTTTTGCTGATATCAGATAGTATGCCATCCTCATCTCATACTTTTTCATATTTCAGGATGTCAATGGCTTTACTGAGTTTTTCAACAGTCATTTCAGAGTCCAGCACTTCCAGAACATGCAGGTCCTCGGTATTGTTGAGTACTTCTTAGGTGATGGAGTTTTCTCTGGAGTAAGAGGTCCAATCTATCCTCATGTATTCATCTTTGTTTATAGCTGAGTGATGTTGTCTGAGTTAGAGCCAGTAGTCATTTATACAGCAGTGTCAGACCTTGCTGTGAATAACTTTTAGTATCTGCAGGTTTTGCTGACTTGGATTATGCTAAATAAAATTAACTATAAAAAAATGTTTGAAACTTTTAAATGTAAGTAAATAAATTAGAGTTACTGACCTCAAGTAGTTCATCTCCAACTTGTAAATTGTGAATTAAAAGTTTTTTTCTGGCTGTACTCAAGGAAATATAAACACTCATTTTACTTCGATCTTTGTTTCCAGCCAAACTAATTCCCAATCCATTGTTGCCACGATTCAAGTCAACCAATACAATATCTCCATTTAGATCACCATACTTGTACTGGAGTTTTTCTGAAAGAAAATAGCAGTTTTTTTATACAAGTTCACTCAATTTTCAATCAATAGCCATTTTAACCTCTATCTCTCTGTTATTGAACTCCTCTTAGGGTTTTGAAGATAGACCCCCATAACTATATATATTCTGAAACTACATTACCCAGGGTACTTGGATAAGTATATTTCATTTTGATCAAAGGGGGTTCCCAGGGAGTACAAACCCACCACTGAAAATTTTTTCCCTTTGATTTAAATTAAATTTAAACAAGTGAATAACTCCTATTCAAAATATATACGGAGAAAGCCAGAAGATAGGTCACATTGGCAAAATCAAAATGAGACAATATGGACATCAAGTTGAGCAAGAGATCACCAATCAGTGGATAGTGCCTTACAATAAATATTTGTTGTGTTAATTCAACTATTATATCAATGTTGAAATCTGCTCATTCATTCAACTCAATCAAGTATTGCATCAAATGCATATCAAAGGGGTCAGATAAAGTTGGTTTTGCACAAATCCCCAACTGAAATTTTTTTCCTTTGACTTAAATTTGAACAAGGGAATGTCTCCTAACTAAAATATAGCAGGAGAAAGCTAGATGAGGTAGGTCACATCAGCAAGATCATTGAAATGCATCATTTTTCTCCACAAATTATAACAATGATTTAAAATCAATCATTATTTCCTTACAAAAAAAAGTGTGTGACATACAGCAAGGTGCGGCTCTTTTGAATAACTTTTCACAAATGTAAAAAAAATAATTTTACTATTTTTACTTTTGATGAGAAAATGTTAATATTTGATACTTGGAAGTTTTTCCTCTTGTTCACAAGTGAACAACAAAATACTTTCATAAGCCCATAAAGATCAACCAGTAAGGTATAAAAAGTATGCCAGAAATAATAATGAAATATAAACTAAGTACTCAAAATGAACAACACCATCAATGTATTTTCAACTCAATTTTGAACTAGAAAAAGTTACACAATAAAAAACATTTTATAATATTATGTCACTGAAACTCTATCTACAATGATTTTCTTGCCAGCAAAGACATCTTCAATTTTTTTTCAAGTTTGCATGCATTTCTTAGCCATAGCAGTTGTTTACCATTCATAACTACCAAATAAGTATTATTAATTAAGGAATTGTATTGATTATATTTCAAAATTAGATAATTTATTCTAAATTAGTTATATACAAACTAGAGTGAGAACTACTAGTCAATTTTAAAATAAAAAAGAAACAGTTTATTAGCACGAAGGAACATTAACAAAAATAAATCTTAAAAATTTAATCTTAAAAATTGGCATGCTTTCTCTCGAAATAGGATTTTTTTATTTTTAATGATTAATCAAGTTTGAAAAAAATCAACAAAAAACAACAAAATTCCTTTACACATGCAACATTTCCTACTTTATTGTAACAGTATTGTTTTATAAATTTAGTATTTCTTAATTTACTAGAGAGCCAAATATTACAGACTGTCAGAATAATATTCATCTAAGATTAATCTAAATAATAAATAAGGATGATATCTGTTTTTCTGCAGATATTGTAATATCTGTAATACTAAATTCAATACATCATATATTATTTCTATCAATGAACATTGACAAGAACTTTAGTAATCTGTTCTCTAAATGAAGTATGAGAAATCTGAATATTTTCCTATCAAAGCTCATGTTTTTGTTTTTAAATGTTTTCATTTAAAATAATTACTACATGATTACAGTGATAAAGAAAATTAGAAAAATGCAATAAATGGTCATGTGAAGGTAAATACAGTTGATAAGTTAAAAGTTTCCAGTTTAGCTACATCATTTTTTGCTTGATCAGCAAAGGAACATGCAGTCTAGCATTATCCTGATGGAATATTATGCCAGAATGATTATGTCAATTATTGTTTTCAACTGGTATATTTCGGATCAGTACCTGTTTTAATCAGCCATTTACTTATCTGGGACTATGAAGTGTGGAGGGATCAGGAAAAGTTCTTTCTAATACCATCCTTTAGCATCACCTTCTTTGGATGAAAAACTGGCCTTTGACATGATTCATTTGTGTTATGTTTAATACTCTTGCAATGTATCTACTTTTTGTTACTTGTCACAATTTCAAAATCATGCATGTAGGTGTTTTTCTTATATGAGAGCCATACAAAGTGACTAACATAACCAAGCTGCTATGATTTTTGGCATGTGAATTGGATACTTTGAGTGTGATAGCCATCTCTTGCATCATATTCATGTTTGTTTTTTAAAGGGTATGTGTGTATGCATAACATCATATGAACAAATACAATACTTTTCAATGATAGTAGTATTTAAATGTATGAATATATCCTAGTATTTCACAATTCTTAATACTGCGATTAATTTTCCATCTGGGTAAAGTGAAAATTATACTCAGTATCTTTTGAATTGACTAAAAGCTTCACCTGTCTTCATTTTGAATTTGAACATTCTTGTAATGAATGATATCTTCAGTGTTTAGCCGTATCAAGAAAATTAATAGCATTCATAAGGCTCAATGAATATTGTATTTTTTTTTTAAATAGTTAAAATAAACAAAGTAAAAATGATATCAGAGATATTGTTTGACTTGTTCCTGGCATTTGGTTTAATGAGGAAAGCAGATTTATAATTAAATCAATTTCAAACACACACACACATACATACATACACACACATATATATATATATATATATATATATATATATATATATATGCATGTGTGTGTGTATATATGTATGTATGTAGAGATAATGAGACAAAGTGGAAAACTTTTATAGATAATAGGTTTTGCCTTCATATTGTAGACATTTTCAGGTTGGAATGAAAGAAAAACCTGTGTTAGGAAAAAAAAAATGTAATTTTTTTTTTGAAGGAGTAATAAATAATCTTATCAGATACTATGCCCAGAAAATGTTTTTTTCCATATTGAAGCCATTAATGTCAGCTGGATTTAAAATTAGTCCATATTGAGTAAATCTGTTTTTTCTCTATTAGCTCATATGCCACATCGTTCTTCTATTGCTTTTGTGATTTTATATATAATATATATATATATATATATATATATATATATATAATATATATAAAATATATATATTATAAAATATATATATATATATATATATATATATATATATATATATATATATATATATAATATATATATATATATATATATATATATATATATATATATATATATATATATATATATATATATATAAAATATATATATATATATATATATATATATATATATATATATATATATATATATATATAATATATATATATATATAATATATATATATATATATATATATATATATATATATATATATATATATATATATATAAATGTCATCCTAGACAGACTGTTTATTTGTTTACAGCTCATCAGTATTTGATAGACATCCGTTTGCCTCTAGCTATATATATATATATACCCGACTATTGGTGTCATTTTGAGTTTTAACCACTCCCCAAATTTATTCTTTCAAAGGTCTTTTTATTGCCAAAATCTCAAATGTTTATGAAAATGAATATTGCATTAACAGTGTTTTAGATAATAATGATTTTTCCAGACACTATCCTTATCATTTAACCCATAACTGCTGGGAGAAGAGATGGATTCATACCTTTCTCAAAGGTATTTACATGTAAGTGAAAAAGTGAACCCAACTGTAATTCAAATTTGGCTCTCCGATTTCTCATTCTGAGCCACTATCCATTACACTACCTACACATCCTATTTCAAATAGAGGAACATGTTTTATGTAATGAGGATGAAGAAAAACAGAACTATAAATGTACAGTAATCAGATAAAGTAAATTAACAATAAACAAATTAATGCATACTTATAGTAGAGTGAGAGCATGCTATTTATTTTGAATACTAAATCAGACCACTTAAAAAAATAAAATGCTTAAATGAAATTTTTCTTTTAATTTATTTGAAACTGAAGCAAAATAACAATTTTCATGTATTATCTACTCAGAACTTTAATACTACTGTATTTGTCACAACTTACATTTGGTGGTAAATTTGGTTACCTGTTCTCTAAGATCATCATATAAAATACTAAATTATATATATTATATATAAAATGAATATAGAAGGCTCTAAAACTTTCCATTTAAAAATAAAACTACTCATATCTGTTACTTTTCATAAATGATTTTTCCTAAATATTTTTAAAAATTCTTTTATTCAATTTTCCTTGACTAAAATTACAAATTAGAAATAATTTGATCTTTTAAAAAAATTAATCAAGCATTTTCTACATCAATGTTTGATTTTTAATTAATTTCATTCAATTAATTCAAATAACTACATTTAAAAATAAAGATAATTATTTTTTAAAATGACTTCATTTAGTATATTTATATAAATTTTTAAACCAACGTTTAAACTGATATCAATAAAATTAATGCTTCAAAGTTTTTCATTATGATTTATAAAAAATAATGAACACAGTTATTTAAAAATTTTATAATGTTTTAAAATCTTATAGTTAATAAGTGACTGAATTGTTTTAAATAATTTCTATAACAAAAATTCTGAAGTTCTTGAAATCTAATCTAAACATTTGCTTCAGTTTTTGATAAGCACAATTAAAATATCAATTCTGTAGCTTGCTGATAAAAACTTGTAAAGTACAATCAATGCAGTTCAATAAAAGGAAAGAAAATCAGTTTTAAATACAAAAAGAATGTTTTTTTTTAAATAGAATTAAAAAAATCTATCTTTTGTATATTTCAGAGATAAACTTTTCTTAGGAACAAGTATTTATGGTTGTAGTAGGAATTTTGTCAATTTAATCATATATGTAATATGAAAAAAGTATTACAAGCATGATTAAATTGACAAAATTGCAACAACTTTTTTGAAGTATATTCCCCTCAACACAATTTTTCAGTTGTGAAAAATTGATATCATTGTTAGATAGCATTAGAAAGGCCCAGCTGGTATTTCATGTTTACATTATCAGAC